TTCAAATCCAGAGTTATAGCCAGGGACATAACTCAGATAGAGCACTTGCCTCATATGTACACAGCCCTGGGTTTGATCCCCAGTACTGCAAAAATTAAATCAATCAATCAATCAATCAATCAAACATTGTAGACCTGGCCTTCAAAGGCCCCCCCTTTTACTATCCTTTAACTGCCTAATGACCCCTCTTCATCACCCCTGGCCAGTCCTGGCTTTGCTGAGTTACCCTGCCCCCACTGTCAGATGTGCCCATCCTGCCTCCCAGTCCATCAGCAGCGATGCCTACAACGTTCCCGAATTGGGGCTGTGCTTCTGAGGGGGACATGAATCCTGCCATCCGCCCTCCATGTCCTCAGGCACCAGGACCTTGGGTCTTATAAACCTCAGAGGAGCTGATGTTGGCTCAGAGGCTCGTGTTTTGGGGATCTCCAAGCCAGTTAGAGTCTGCGGGCTGGCAAAGCCACCTCACGTTCTGCTTTGTGCGTGGAGGGTCCAGCCCAGGGAGCCCTGGAGCTGCTCTGCCCCCGGGCGGGGGAGGGGACGGGGCTTCACCAGACAGAGGTCCATTTTCACTTGTTGGTCAAAGATCCAAAGTACAGGGCATTGTCGCCTGAGCCAGGGAAGCAGGTCTCCAGTGAAAATTCTTCTCCTCACCCTTCGTAGCACAAACAGAAAGTGAAATGTTCTAATACGCTGTTCAGATGGACGACAGGGACATGGGATACACGTTGTCGAACTTTGTAATCTTACCCTTCATTAAATATTCAACACAGATATTTGATCTCTTCCTTTTCTCAGCTCCCCCCCCACCCCTCTTCCTCTGTCTCTTCCTTTGTTCCTCTCGCCCACCTGCCCCCCCCCCCCCCCCCATTTCACCAGCCTTCTGGGAAATGCTGAGCTGACTGAAAGTCACTTTCCTGTCAGGGACAAAGCCAGGGGAATTCCTAGATGTGCCATTAGGGGACAAAGGTATCAATTGACTTCTGTGAGCCAGGACTCTTTATGGGAAGGGCAGTTGCAGGTGGGTGGGATTGAAGGAGGCATGACCTTGACCTGGCCTTTACTGTCATGCACCAAGCTATGGGGAAAAATGATGAGGTGCTCACCTGAATGCATGCTGGGTAGGGATGGGATATCCAGACAGATGTCCTATGAGCAGGTGGGCTGTCCCAACAGAGTGACCAACCAGCATCTCAGGGGACCACCTTATTCAGAGCAGCAGGTAATCCAGTAGTATCCAAATCAACTGTTACTAAAGTGGATCCATTTGACTTAGTGGATCTCTTCAAATATTGAAGGACAAGAGGCCTCTTGAATTAGGACTGAATCAAAAACGTTTGGCTGGGATAATAGTTTGTCAACTATATGGTGGGACCTGCAAAATAGAAGTAGCAGTAATGATATTTCATATTGTTAGAAAGTAATAATTGCTACTTTTAAGCAAATAAGATGGTTAAGCACTATTATCTCATTTTAAATTATGTATTTATTTTATTGTATCTATTTAAGGCATACAACACAATGTCTTGATATACATTCCAAACATATTCATTATCTCATACAGTTACCTCCATTTTGGGGCAAGAACACCTAAAACTTATTCTTTGGGCAAACCCCAAATACAGCCCTATAGTTCTCATGGTGTGCATTAGATCTCTAGATTTATTTACCCTACATATCTGCATACTACAGCATTATTTACAATAACTAAGATACAGAAACACTGAAAGTTTCTATTGATCAATCCATGAATTAAAAAACCTATATTCAGTGGAACATGATTTAACCTTAAAAAGGAGATCCTGCCTGCCACTTTCCACAACATGGATGGGCCCAGAGGACATCATGTTAATATAGAAAGAAAAACTCTGCATAAAAAAAAAAACAATACTGAATACACAGAGATAGAGAATAACACTGTGATTACCAGAGGAGACAGGATGAGAGAGAAAATTTGGAGGCCAAAGGATATATTGTCTCATTTAATCATAAGAACCCTATGAAATAGGTAGTCTGTGGTTTTGGTTGAACACTCATTCAATGCAATCTCATTTCATCATTGCAACAGTTCTATGAAATAAGTGGTGTGAACTTTTGCAGATAGAAGATCCAGAGCTCAGAGGGTTTAAATAACTTTTGTAAGGTGATAGGTCATCAAGCTGAGATTCAAACTGGATCCATGAGGCTCATACTTGCCTTCTTTCCCACCACTCCACCCTCCTCCCTAAGCCATGAGCATTGCCAGAAGACAAGGCTTCCTCAGAACAGGCAGGTGTTTAATCACTCTCTTCTCCACCTGGTGTCCAGGGCTGACCCTGCCGGCATTACTACAGACCAAATTCTCCCAACTTCTGCTGCTGTCCTGGAATTCTGACCTTTAAAGTTTTGAGAAATTCTAGAATAAAGTGAGGTTTGTTAGATCAAGTCACTTTAGGCAGATTCTTTTGTTGAACTCTGTGTCCAGCGGGGAGCATCCTGGGGCTGGTGTTCAGGGCTGGGCTGGGCGATGGGAAGAGGCCTCTTTGCTCTTCCTGCCCAGGTGATTCTCTATAGTTCTCCAGGATGCAAGGAAAGAGGGATGCCTGATTTGGGATTTGGAGGGTATTTGGGGTGTCCTCAAAATGTACTTTTTAAAACTCAAGCATGATTTCACCCCCAGGTCTCATTAAGGCCATGAGCACAATCTAAATAAGGCACAATAGAGGCAGTTGCCATTCCAGATGCATTTCCTTCATCCTGCAGAGATGATGGGTATTTTGTAGGTAGACAGTATTCTCTTCCCTTGACCACCTTAGTAGGAGCTCTGGAGGGGTGGCTTCAGGGGCAGGGTTGACACAACAGGTGATGAGAGTCAGCCAGTTGGGTTGTACCTGCTGCAGAATGTCCTGTCCATTAGCATGCATGCAATGCTCTGCAAGTTGACATCAGAATAGTTTTCTCTTGATGTTCTTCATCTTGGAAGCAATTCAAAAAGGATGTGTGTGTGTGGGAGAGAGAGAGAGAGAGAGAGAGAGAGAGAGAGAGAGAGAGAGAGAGAGAAGAAGAAGAAGAAGAAGAAGGAGGAGGAGGAGGAGGAGGAGGAGGAGGAGGAGGAGGAGGAGAAGGAGGAGGAGGAGGGGGAGGAGGAGGAAAATGTATAGGAAGTTAGTTTTATTTCCTTTGTGATCAAGAGGTTAGTCACACATGACAATCTGGAATAGGAAAGTAGATAGAATTTTTATCTATTTATACTTTTTTTCTCAATCCATGTAGAATAAGCATAATCATAAACACATTGGCATGAACCACTCAGAAACGCTGTGTGGTCACAGTCCTTGGTTACCTCTGAAGAAATGACACCAGCCCCTGTCTACCCTGGGTACTTTGATATTGTGCCCGAGTGAAGCCAGAGAAATGGGCCAGAAGAGACCTCCCAGGAGACCTAGGATCCTGGTGACTTTATGTGTCCCCAGAAGGGAGGGGGACATATCAGGTTGAAGCTGGAACATTTAGACCTTAAACAAGGCTCCTAACCCCTCAGGGTGCCCTTTGTCATCTGTGAACTGATGACCATTAAAGATAATAATGGAAATGACACTTCTCTCCAAGGAAGCTACAAGTAATAAATAATATGTGTGGCAATGTTCCATCAGCCCTAAAGTCCTTAGGTGCTTTTACATATGAGGAGCTATATCCCCATAGCATCAAGGAGAGTGCCACCCGCAGAGGATGCCCTGGGTCCCAATACATTTATGATGTTACTTTATAGCTACATAAAAGGCATAGTTATTGTTTTAGAGCAGCTTATAAACATTTAAAATGTCTTTCTTTGTGTCTGATAAAACTGTGAACCCTTTCTCTTTCAAAAACCAATAAAGTATAACAAATCCAGCAATTGGCAAAAATAAAGTGTGTTAATGCATACATCTAATAACACTTTACATGCAATTTCTGGGGCTTGTCATCTGCTCTAACACCTATCCCGGCTTAAGAAAATGGTTCTAGAGACACAGGCTTCAGCTCTCCAATTGAATTCTGGGAGAGAAATAGACTGTCTAGAGAAATGAGTGCAATAATGATGTTTAGCACCAGCCTGAGAAAACCCCTAGAGGGAACATCTCTGGGATAGTGATGTACTCATATAGTGCTCTTGAAAAGAAAAAAAAAATAGTGGATGTCTGATTTTAACGGGTCTAAATTAAAATGTGCTCAGCTGAAAGAACAAGTCTTCCCCATATAAGCAGCCACTCTTCAGCTCAATGAACTTTTATGCAAAAAGTCGCAGTGCCGATGGACACCTGAATCCTCTTCCCTCCACAAAAGGGCTGCTATCCGGTGACGGCTGCGAGGTCCCCTTACCACAGGGCGAGGCTCCTCCAGGTCGCTCGGATGCCTGCTCAGAGCCCAGCTTATCCGGGCATCTTGGAGCTCTTGCCAAGGGCCCTGGTCACATCTCGCTGTTCTGGATTTTATCTTGAGAAGCACACACGTTTTGGTTGAGGGGTGTCTCTGTTAAGTAGGATTTCATTTTGGAACCAGAGAATTCAGCACCAGGGCCAGCTCAGGCAAGGTGGACATGTAAACATCCAGTCATAGAGCAAGTCCAACTGATCGAGACCACGTCCAGAGAAGGAAAATGAAAAGGAAAGAAAATAACTGAGCAGGTAAAGCATTGTCACACTGTCCCCATCCAATCAGGGTCTCCCATCGCAGAACACCCAAGGCACTTGGACGAATGATTCCTAAGGCCAGCCAGGGCGCTTGCCTTTGAGCTCACAGCGCACTACCTTCTGTCTTCAGATTGTCTATGGCACCTCGATTATTGGAGGTAAGTATCCCCCCCAGGAGAGATGCGCACGTCGCCAGTCTGACCCAGGCGGCACTCGCTGGGATTCCAGAGATCCGAGCCTCCTGGAAGGCAGATGGCTCGGGGCCTGGATGTCGACTCCTCTACCTCCAGCTAGATCAAGTGGCGGCAGTGCAGGCAGCTGGAAGCTACCCACAGAGAGAAATCGAGCACCATGTTCAGAAAGATCCACTCCATCTTTAGCTCCAGCCGGCAGAGGAAGGCTGCTGCGGAGAGCCCCTACTGCAACGGAGCCGGTCCCACCGTGAGGCTCATTCGCAGCAGCTCCATGTACGTGGTCGGGGACCACGGCGAGAAATTCAGTGAGTCCTTGAAGAAGTACAGAAGCACGAGCAGCATGGACAGCAGCCTGTACTACCCTCCCCAGGAGGAGGACCGGGCCTGGATGTATTCGCGCACCCAGGACTGTCTGCAGTACCTGCAGGAGCTGCTGGCCCTGCGCAAGAAGTACCTCAACAGCTTCAGCGACCTCAAGGCCCACCGCACACAGGGCGTTTCCTCCACCTCCTCCAAATCCTCCAAGGGAGGCAAAAAGGCCTCTGGCCAATCCTCCTCCAAAGAAATAAAGGTAAGTGCTGCGCCGTGCGGTGGTGCTCCTCTGTAATCCCAGAGGCTCTGGAGGCTGAGGCAGGAGGATCGCAAGTTCAAAGCCAGCCTCGGCAATTTAGCTAGGCCCTGAGCAGCTCAGCAAGACTCTGTCTCTAAATAAAATATAAAAAAGGGGCGGGGGAATGTGCTCAGTGGTTAAGTGCCCCTGGGTTCAACTCCTGGTTAAAAAAAAAAAATACTGCTGAGCTGCACAGTTTAGATGGGAGCTCTTTCAGGAGCTGTGAATACCTGTTGCAACCGTCTGTCTAATCCATGGACTTGCTTAGTAAGTCAGACCCACCCCAAGCAATGGGTCAGTAGTCCTTAAAGACTCCCTATGGCCAACTTCCCAGTCTGGGATTGGTGGCTAATCCCTTGCTTATTTTAAAAGCTAAGGACACAGGAAGAGCAATTTAATGGCATCAATAGCGCACCCAGGTGGGAAGGGCAGGGACTGGGTGCCAGGTGGTTCTGAATTTGCATCCTCCATCTGTCACTTACAGCCCAATTAACAGAAGAGATAATGCTTCATGGCATTTGGATGATGGCCAATGATTTCTCAGCATTTTATTGCGATTTCTTCAAATGCTATTATGATCACATTTTAAAATCCCAGGGAAAAGTGATTTTTTTTTTTTGCATGAACTAGATGATTTCAAATATCTAGGTGCTTAGTCCCAGGCCAGTCTAACTACCAGGGGATTCGTCCAGCAGTACCTTGGGCTCAGGTGTTCCAGTGGCTCAAGTAAGGCACAGAGAGAGTCTCTGGCTTGCAGGAAGTTGCCAGATGAGTTTGCTGGACACTGGAGGCCACAAACATGAAATTAATGAAAGAAAACATGCATGTATTTTGTCACTTATACTTATCACAGAGTTTTGTAAATGCTCTTTTATTTAAATAATGCCAGTGTGAAAGGTAGAGAGGAAGTCCTGTATCATGGAAGGTAAACTAAGGCTCAAGGACCCTATCTTGTCCTACATCTTTCATGTGACTCACTAGGTCATCTGATTCCAGTTATGACCCCCCCCCATCCACTTACTTACTCTGTTCTTTATTTCTTCCAGTTTATTTAGTTTATTTTTAATGCCTATAATTTGAGGGTCTTTGGCTGAATATTTCCATTTTTTGCAATGGCTGGACTAGAGGGTCTCCAGAGCCGGCCTGCTTCCCACTCCCTCGCTGTCTTGCCAGAGTGTCCTGCAGCATCCAAGGTGCATTAATGTTGAATGACCGATTGGACTGCTATCAAATCTCTAGGGCTTGGCCCAACCCAACAGGTTTCAGCTATCTGCATTTAATACCAGGTGGGAGCCATTTAAATAATCGTTTAACTGCAAAAGTATGTCAGTGTTGGGATTTCTACAAAAGCCTCCTAGATCTGGATCCCCTGCTGATCCTGTGGTCAGCCAGCTGTAGATTTGTGGGACAGATGTCTCCTACTTTGGGGCCAGCTTTGATGACAGAGAGGGTGGCCGGGCCTTTGGACTTCTTTCCAGATTGAGTATTTTTCGGTTCTAAGCTATGGTTAGATTCCTTCTGGGCACTGTGCCCTGCAAAGGGAATCAACCCTTGTGGGACCTAGCGTCCTTCCTGCTGAGCTATCTGCGAATGGAGGAAAGGGAGAGAAGTAGAACAGCCATCTCTAGCTTTATGAAGTGGCTGTGAAGAGGGGCACAGACATGTACCATGCGTGGATCTTCTGAGAAGATGCCTCTTACCATGGTGTCAACAGGGGAAAGTCTTAAAAGGATATTGAAGTCAATCAGACCAAGGTATTTACAAGCTGTGGGCCTTTGCCAAATGAGGTTTACCTTTCTGGGCCTCTATTTCAGTAGCACAGACATGGAAATGATAATATCCCTTGTGAGGAGTCAGTAACATCTTGCATGTGACTCTAGCTGGTACTTCTGGATACTCTAGTGTTGACTGACTCAGAATGTTAGGTGCAGAAGGCTGGTAGCCTTCGGATGAGCTGCTTTCCTCCCCGTGGCTCCTCCAGAAAGAGCCGTCTACTGAGCTTACTGTGCAAGAATGTGTGTGGTCGCTGCAGAATAGGTCTCTGTGCACTTCAGAGGCAGCCGCCAGGAGGCTCCTCCCCTCTGGAATGCCATAGCCTTCCTCTTTGGTAGTAAACCCTGCTGGTGCTCAAGGGTTAAAGCAAGCCCTGTTCTTTTCCCTGTCTCCTTATTATGGAGACACAGAAGGTGGTTTTATTTAGAACTAGAGTCATTGCAGATGGTATTAGTTAAGATGAGGTCATGCCAGAGAAAGGGGACACTAATCCAATACAACTGCTGCTCCTAATAAGAAGATGGCTTTGTGAAGATGCAGAGACCCAGGGAGAGGGCCATGTGGAGGCTGGAGTGATTCAGCCACAAGCCAAGGAGCTACTGGAAGTTGGGAGAGGGGCCTGGGACACAGCCTTCCCTGGCACTGTCACTTGGAAACACATGTGTTTGGAAATACATGGACTCATCTATAGAACTAGCTCTTTTCTGTTCTCCAGACTTAGAAGTTCTCTCTGTCCCAGCACTCACCACATCCTACTGTGGTTTGTTGAAATGCGTGTCTCCCCGGGTGGACTGCACTGAGACTGGGGCACTTGAACTAGAAACGGTAACTTTTTCATTTTTCTCTCCCTGGAGCAGTGGACACCACTCAGCACTCATAGATGCTTTGTGAACTTCAAGTCTGCTGTCTTTTTTGCCATAGGTAGCTGGGAGCTGGCCTTTATGTAGGGAGTGAGCCGTGTTCTAAGTGACCCAAGACACATGGCAGCTCCTCCTTCCTTCTCTCCAAATATCAGCCCCTTGCCTGGCCGCAGAGCCCAAGTCTCCTTGCCTGTTCCTCTCTTGCAAGTAAGATGGCTTTTAAATTATTTTGATTAAGAGCCACAGAACTCCTACATATATTTTAGATATTGACTTAGTTTACCTAAACATACAATCAAAATAAAATTGTCATGAAATGGACTTAACTCCTTTTCTTGCTTAGCACTCTGATGTTTTTCAAAGTATACTATTTCAAAATTTGGTCATGGCATGCTAACTTGATTTCACAAGGTACTACTGGGTCAAGATCTATACTTTTTTAATGCTCTGAAGTAAGGCATTTTAATTGAAAGGCTACTGGTGTCTCAGGCATGAAGCACCAGGGTGCCCGATGGTCTGCCATCCCAGCTCCCTGGAGATACCTTGAGCCTAGAAGGGCACCCATGTGGGTCAAGGGAAGGAAAAAATGTGGGTAAACCAAAGGGAAGGTGAGCCTGGGAAGTGCCCCTGGAGTCACATATGGTGGGGGTCCCAGCCAGGCCCTGTGGGATCTGTTTCTCCCTCAGAATAAGAAGTTGTCACAAAAAATGAAAGAAACATACTTTCTCCAATATTTTAAAATCAGAACAACAAAAATCCATATGTGATCATTTTTATGATTCTACGTTGGGCATGAGCTACAGTTTGGGATTCATTATTTGGGTGCTCAAAGGTTTGAATTTCTAATACAGGGCACAATGTGCAGGGCAGTGGGACAGCATATTTGAAACAGGTCTTGTCCTGTAAAGTAGAGTCTCTGAACCAACAGGGCGAGATCCTCCTCTGGGCACCTTGGGTGTTTCCCACAGTGAAGAGAAACAGTGACAGTGTCCTCCACACCTGCTTCCACTGCTTCTGTGCCACAGCCCAGGCACCATCAGGAACAACCCACAGCTAATCATCCTCCAAATCCCACATGCTAGGTATCAGCCCATCCTACAGATGGGAGAACTGGGGCTCAGAGACATGGTGGAGCAGTTATGTGAGGCCAAGTTCCCAATGAACAAAGAGCCACGATGTAAAGTCAGTCTGTGTCGTGCCAGAATTCACCCTCTAGTAGATGTCCCATAGCACCTTTCAACTGGGGAACATTTTTTTTTCCAGTGCTGGGAATTGAACCCAGTGCATGGGAGGCAAGCACTCTTCCAGCTGAGCTATATCCCCAGCCCAGGGAACATTTTTTGAGCCTGTATAACATACAAGATGTCAGAGTGTGCACCTCAGGACCCACTGAGGACACTGCTCTCTATCCTGCCCACTTGGGCATACCTGAGTCAGGGAGAGGGGTCAGGGAGGTACACACCTGCTATACTCATGATGCTAGGAAGGTGTTTTAGTCAGCTTTTTCATTGCTGTGACTTAGAAGACCTGACCAGGGCCATTATAGAGGAGGAAAAGTTTATTTGGGGGCTCATAGTTTCAGAGGTCTCAGTTCAGAGACAGCAGGCTCCATTCTTTGGGGCTCGTGGGAGAAGAATGTGGTGGAGGGAAGCCGAGACCTCACTCACCAGTTCCAAACTATATATCCCAAGACCACACCCCCAATGACCCCTTCCTCCAGCCACATCCTACCTGTCTTCAGTTACCACTCAGTTAATCCCCATCAGGGGATTGATTCAGTGTTGGATTAAGACTCTTATAATCCAATCATTTCTCCTCTAAACCTTCTTGCATTGTCTCACACCTGAGCTTCTGGGGGACACTTCACAACAGAAGGAGTCTCCCAAAGGAGGCTGCCTGACCTGGGCTCCCTTCACCCAGAGAAACCTGGCTGGAAAGAAGTGACCGAAAAGCCTGGCTTAAGTCGTCTCCTCTCCATGGGTCTGTAAAATTTCCCTCACATAGCTACCCCTGATTTCATTTCACCCCAGGTCTTCACAGCATGGGAATATTGAGTTTGTTCTCTTCTCTTGGAAGAGAGCTGGGGAAGTAGTGCAGGCCCAGTCACCATGGGTAGGTACTGTGTCCTCAAATCACTTCCACAAAAGTATGTTCAAACCTCCAGCTCATTTCACAAACATCTGAGATGAGCCACACACCAGAATAATGAAGTAGCAGTAGAAACTGGAAAATCAGGAGAGGAAAAAAATATCCACAGAAAATCAAGACCACTCAAAAAAATTTGCAGAGCAAATTTGCAGGGAAATGGCTGGATTCACTTCAAAATTC